CCCCCCCGCCCCCCAGCCTCACCCGCTCCAAGCGGCCGGAAGAGGTAGCGGCCCCTTCTCAGCCGCCCCGTGGCCCGGAAGCGGAACGGCGAGGCCCGGCCTCATCCCGCCCCCGTGAGCGGAGCTCGGCCTACCCTAGGCGGGGAGCGGGGCGGGTGCTGCCAGGGGTACAGCCATTAAACATAGAGTAGTCTTCCAAGGGCTTAGGGTTAACTTTTAAAAATTAAAATTAAAGCCTACGTAGGTCTAGGTTTAGGTTTATTTTACTTGTTCAAGTGGCTGAAATCCATGCCCTCCTTAAATTAAGAGCTTAACCCCTTTTCCTCTAACATACTCCAACCTGTACGAATTAGCAAAAACCTTTGAGATATTTAACTCCAAAACTAGCTTCAAAATAATTGCTAGATTTCACTGCGGGTAGTGAACCAGCACCTACAATGCTCTAGGAACCAAAATTCAAGTTCAGGATTTTGAGAGGGAGCAGGTGGTGCGATCAATCACAAAACACTCCCATATTATCAATATATTCCTTAGTAAAGTAAAACATTCAGACCTTTTTCAAAAGGTATTTATTGTGTATAGCATTTTTTTTCCTAATTAAAAAGTTCACTGTAAGTATTAACAGCTAGCACATTCAGAAATGTGTTTATCACATTACTCCATGACACCTTGGAACACAAACAGAAAACAAGTTCATTTAAAAAGAAAGGATCACAATATTCTTAGGAGGTAGGTGAAGAGTCTTAGATAGTTTTATATTAAATGGGCAAAGGAAAACAGTCACATCTGTGAAGACTATTACATCAATTTAAGCCAGTTATCCACAAGCTATGCTTTTGCATGACTACAGCAGCTTCATTTTGTTAAACACTGCACATTTCCCATATCAGACACAAAGTTTACTGATACTAACAATGTCTTAACCCTTCTTATCTACCATTCAACTGGTAGAGCACCCTACTACTCCGGCTTTTCCTTTTAATAAAAGAGCTTTGTTCAGATGAGTGGGTAATAAACACTGCAAAGCCACTGGGAAAGTAAGCATCTGTCTGCCATAAATATTTTTTGTAATTATTAGCCTGGAATTCCATATCATAAATATTAACTAGCAGCTGAGCAAAATAGAGCAAGGAGCATGGTAAGATAAGGACTTGACTTTTTGAAAACACTACAGTAGCTTCTCCTCAGATAATTTTCAGTACTGGAAAAAAAGATGAGTATGTTTAAAATCAGAGTAGCCGGGCAGTCCAAACTGCAAAACTGAAAAAAAAAAAGTATCTAGTTGAACAAAGAATGGCTTTAATTTCACTGATCTCACTCATGCTTGAAAGGAATTATGAAAAACTAACAGGACTGCACCCTCTTCACTTCACAAATGTCCATGTCCGTCCCCCGCCCCGTTAGCTCAATATAGGGAAGAAGATATAATAAGAGAGAGAAACAATGTAGTTCACTTAGAAATTTGAAGCTAGGAAAGCTGCAAAATCTGTCTTTCAGAAAAAGAATATTTAAATATTCCTTATATTTCAGAGTCCTACTCTGACTAAAACCAGGTATTCTTAAAAAGTATAATTAAAGCACTTATTTCAAGCATCTCCGACAACCATTCTGTGAAAAATCCTCTAGAGAATGACCTGCATCCACAAGGATTGAATAAGAATTTTCACCAAAAGCTTTGTAAGAGCTCTGTGGTTACAAAAAGCACGCAAGCTATTATCCCGTTCCCCTCTGTGTCTCATATGAGTCTTTTTGGAGGGAGACAGGAATGACTTGAGAATTAGAGTCATCTCCAAAGACAACAGCTTTTGATAACAGATGTATTTAAGCCATCTTTCTACATAATAAATACTGTATAAATCCACGGGATACACAGACAAAAATTTGACACTGGAAGAAATACACTTTTCACCAAGAAACTTACTTCTTTGTGACAGATTTAGTTTAGAAAGTGCCCATTCACAATGCAGTTCCATTATTTTCTCTTAGCTACAGACACTTCAGGAGATGACATCAGCGAAGCTGACATGGCTAGGCACCGATGCCACCCTCTCCTCCCTATGACACACACATCAAGGTCATTTCATAAACAATTCCATTACCACCACCATGTAATCTAGTCTTGAAGTTTGATACAATTGAACTGTTGAAAGGTTTTAAGCTGTCATTAGAGCATTTAGGCATATGATGCAAACTTGCTGAAACATGCTAACAAATACAGGCTATATACTAATTGTGTGCAATTCAGAATATAACTACTGTTTCTCAGTACAAAGTTCCTCACAGCAAAAAGTACTATTCTTCATTTGCTCACTGAAAACAAAGGAAAAAAGGTATGCTAAACTGAACAAGTTTACATGTTATTCCAACTAGTTCTAAGCCTTTTGGAACCAAACAATTTCCATTTTAAACATCCCTGAACCTCAAAGACTTCAATCTGCTTCAGCACTAAATCCCTATACATCCCCCTCCATTACTTTCCAACAGAACATGGCTTTGCCATACTATACAGAATGGCAAGAACATTCAAGCAATCTAGAGTCTACTCACATCAGTCTTTAATGACACTTTCCCCAAAATATCTTTGCTACTTCTGTACACTTATCCTGTTGTAAAAATCAATTCACAAAAGGTCACGTCCACACACAGCGGCCACTGGCCCAAATGTCTCTATTTCAGTTGTGCACATTAATAACAAAAGCTAACTAATGACTTATTACTGCATATATAAACTAACTAGGCCTCCAAATCAAAGGAAAATTAGTGAAATTATCTTTTCTTGACAGGGCTCAGACTATTCTACTAACGTGTTTTACTTTTAGAAGGAAGTGCCATTGAAAGGTAAATTCCCTACAATACTATCTTATCGAAGTGATTCAGGATTTGAAATAACTTTATTAAAAGTATGACATTCCAAGTTTTCGTGTTTTTAAATATTAAAATATATGAAATTCTTTTATAGCTTTAAAAAATATAAGTTTGACAAAAAAGTTACCCATTTGTGTTCAAGATAACTTTGGGACCTCTTTGCTTTTTGTAAACATCCACCTCACCATTAAATGATGAGCTGCAACAAGTCAGAGGGGAATAATTCTTTAGTACAGCGGCTTCTCAAGCTGAGTATCTTTAGGGACAGAAGAACTGTTGTGCTGTATATTCACTCACAAAAACTTACACTGAAGATATAAACCATTAGGTAAGCACATACGCATTTCCAAAAGAAATAGTACTACTGCAGCATGAAACTGCAGAATCACTCGGCCACCAGGAATGACATTAATAGCAATCCCATCATTTGATAGTATCCTCTATACAGAGGACTGGCTACTCTATATTGCACCATACACATAGGAAGCAACAGGACATCTCTAAGAATATGATTTTACTGAGAAAAAGCCTTTTTTAATTAGGAAAAATTTGAAATGAGATGATCAGAATGCTCAGTATCTAGCTTAGGACCCACACAGAATCAGTAAAAATCAGGAAGGTTTACAGGTGTGCATGTTCATACACACCACACTGTGAACATACCAGAAGTAAACAGGCTGTAAAAGTGTCTAATTTACTGACTGGAACTTTACATTAACCTGGGTCAACATCAAAACTGAAGCAGGAAATAAGACAGCCCCAAAGAAACAGTTTACATTTGTGTTCTGCTTTCAGAACAAGATCCAAACAATGAAATGGATGCAAGGCAACTCTAAATTAGCATTGCCTGTTGAAAGAGAACATCCTGCATATTAATCTCTCTGAAACTGTGATACAGAAGCTACTATAACAAAAATACCTAGATCTTGATATGAAAGTCTCTGAATTGCAGACAAACTCCCAGAGACATGGGCAATTTGCCCTCATCTGACATGAATATGCTCTCAGTCTATACATGTATCATTAGAGACAGTAGATTAATTGTTAATTGGTAATAAGTCTTGACCATGGAAGTCTCTCTTGACTGCTATTTATCAGTGTCAGGTACTAATCTGGTTGAATGCAACCTTATTTTTTTAAATAAGAGAACTGTGTAACACTAACTTTTAATATAATTAGAGAACTGATATTTTTGGCATTAAGACAAAATTGTGAGCATAAAAAACAGAAGTGCAGATTTAATATATTTGCTACAATAGATGATATTGCTCAACTCCTGAAAGGATTTATTTGCATGCATCTTTCCTTACAGGGAAATCACAATGATTATCAGAAGATATTGCAAACTTTCACAACACATCAACTGGTGCATTATTGTTGCCCTGATAAACCTATAAACCCTAGTTAGGTGCCCAAGAACACCTCTTACACACACTAGTTTACTACCATTGTGGGGAGAAAAAACAACCCCAACCTTTAAATCACTTTTTTGTTAAGTAAAATTAGGGCTGGTATGATGTACCAAACTAAGAACTTTAGAAATGGATGTTTCATCTACAAGGATGACAGAGGTAGCCTAAGACTCCCCATACCTCTGCCAACCATTGATATTATGGCTGGAATATCTCCCAAGCTCTACTGAGTATGGCCAGAGTTCCTACTGGTGACAACCGATATTCCTCCAGGAAGAACTGCAATGAACTCATTTCCTACTGGTAGCTGAGATAGCCTTGACTTATTGAAGCAGAATCTAAATTTGCAACTTAAATTGAGAAAGGACTGATAAGTCTGATAACTTACTAGTCATTCAAACAGTTTAGCTTCCGTTGCAGCTTAGGCTTAAAACCTTTGGCCAACAGACTGAAGTTTACAGACCTGTAGTTCTGCTTTCTGAAAAGTGGACTAAAAGACACCAAAGCTCAAGCTCACTCTAGTGAGGTAAATGAGTACTCTGTTTGTGTTAGGTATGTGAACAAAAATAACAATCTCCACACTTGTGAAAGACTACATTATGCCATTGTTAATATCCAAACAAATTAAGGTATCTGTGACAACAAAGAAATGCACTTGACCATTTATAGCAAAACAGATTTATACAAGTCACTTATGGCCTTGTCTACCTGCAAATGAATTCCTTCAGCAGGTACACACAATACATTGCTCAGTCATAAAAATATATATTATCTCTTTCCTTTAACATTTAGGTATATAAATATTTTACTGAAGAACATGCATCATTTAGATAAACAATTGCAAGAACATCCTCTGAAAACATAGGGTTCTTTGACAATTAGCAATATAAAATTATTACATAAACATAGCTATTAAAGTCAAGACAAACCAATACAGCAGTAAGCAGTCCATTGTGTGCTAGTCCAAAGAAATTAAGCACCTTTTGCAACAGGTTATATAATATATACACACACAGAGAATGCATTGTAAATGGAGCAAAAATAGCATCATTCCATCTGCATATTCTTCATTCTTGTTTGGACTCCAAACTTACTGTTCGCTTTTCTGCTCTTGTTTTCCATTCAGCTCTTGGTCAACCCTGCTTAGCAAAGAAAGCAGTAAAATTGAAACTATGTTAACAAGTAGTTTAGTTTGATGGCTTATATATATTAAGCAAAAACTATTAATCTTAACAAGAAAATAAAGCTTTGACATAGAAAAAGCTTTAGTGAATACTAAATTAAGATTTTTATTGAATGCAGTCACAACAATGCTTTTTTAAAATCTATTTTCCTACCTCCCCCTAGAAATTAAAATTGTTAAGAAACCATTTAAATATAGCATTTGAAAAGAAGCATTTGAAAAGTGCAAGCGAAGTTTGACTACAGAAGAAAAAAGCAGGTTCTGTGTTTTTATTAATGAATGCAAGCAGGAATCCAAGTTTACAGGTAACATGACAATTCTGTCAAGCACTACTACTTTGATGAATACATACACTACAGAATAAGCACCGAATTACCTTTAATGTTGTAGTAATTAAGCCAAGAATGTAACAGCACTAGTTGAATCAACAAAAGTTAAGTGACTCCTTAGCTGCAATATTTCTATTAAGTTCTAAGACTCTTTTAATTACACAGCAAAAATTCACCATCATGCTGCTAAAACCATTTTTGTTTGTGGGTTTTTTGGTGGTTTTTTTTTTCTTAGTATCTGCCTTGGGGCTAGCAAAGAAAATGTTTTGCAGAAACCAGTGGATGGTTGACAGTCCTGCATGAAATGTACTTCTCTTTACAGTAAGAACAAGCTACAGTCTTAACTGGATCTTCTGGAAAATAAGTTGTGCATGGAGGTAAATTAATTTTAAACCCAACAGCAGTTCCAAAGTGAGAGAGGCTAAGGCCAAGTTTGTCTTCTAACAACCTAATCATCTAATCTACCTGCCCAGTCTCTCAAACTATAGGTCTTCAAAATGATAAAAACAATGACAGCTCTTCCAGGCTGTGAACCCATAAAAGTGGGAGGCAAATTTTGTTTGTTTTTCCCCCAGCTGTAAGAACTGAAACTAGTACATAAGGTCTGGAGCAGCACTGTCTAGAAGCAATGGCCCTAGTCAAATACCTGTTCACTCACACAGTACGTGGCTGCAATTCACCCCATCTTCACTGCAGTATCTTAGGAAAGCATGTTTTGATATGACTTATACAACTAATCTCAGAAAGTGTAAGAAAATATGGTAAGCTAATGCAAACAAGCTATGCATAAACATACAGCTCACAATACAAATCCATAGAAGCACATCATATTCCAGCTTCCAAAGTGACTCATACACATAGCCAAAGAATTCCTACTGCCATCCTGAACAAATTCAGTAACTAAACTTAAGACACATCTCCCAGATATAATAAATCATGCCTACAACTGCTTTCAACCTGATTGAAGTCTCAGTATCAAATCGTGCCTGTGACCTCTCCTCTATACAGAAGTTTCACTAAGAAACATACTACCTTTTACAAAAGTGATGGTAGTATAAGTGATGGTATTGACAGGGATACTAAAAAGCACTTCTTGTACTGGGGATTTTTAAAAGTCTTTACATTATTGTTTGAATGTCTCAGGTTTGCACCCTGAATACAGTAGGCCTTGCAATAGAATTGGGCGAAATTATGCACGCTGGGGGGGATCAAGCAGAACTGTTGTTCAGTATGTACTGAAAGGGTTTCTTAAATTTGACAGGCTTAGTACTTCAGGTTACACACTGCAAGATTATCACTTATTTGGAATAATTCCTAGAGAATGTTCAATACTTGTCACTAGCTTTACCTGCTAGCTTTCAGAAAGAATTTAAATTCCTTTTATTTTAATCTCTCAGTGTTCCTGTCTATGTCCATTACCCAATTTAGACAATAAACCTGCCTCAATAGTTGTGCACACACAGGAAGAGTAATTAAAAAAAGCAAAAGTTAGCAGCAAAACCTTTCAGAACATTTGTTAGTGACAGAGTGAAAAAATAACACATCCATTCAAAAAATTTCATCAGCTGCTGGAAGAGCTTGAATAGTTAGCAGGACACTGAAAATTAACAAAATTAAAATCCAATATTTATTAGCAAGGAACATAGGCACTGCAAATACAAACAGCACTAATAATACTAAATTAGATTGCATCTGTGCAAGTCAATAACTAAAGAGATAGTGAATACCAAAAATACAAAATACAAGACTCAATATTAGAATTTCTTCCAAACTTGCATCTCTGCTGATGCATAGCTACAGCTTAGCACCTAAAATCAGCTCTTCCCTCAGACATCACTTCTTGTTAGAAACAACGAAAATTTAACTCATTCATACAGAAGCACTACTTTTGCCTCTTGAAGATTCAGCTGAGAATCCATGTATCCCCTTAAAAGTGAGCATTTCATGTAATAGAGTAATAGAGACTATTCGCAAATATCTGTCTGAACATCCAGGGTGAGTTCTTTTAGACAATATACTGTACTTGCAGGCAGTATAGTTACTTTCATGCATAAAAACTGAAGTCACTAGTGCATGTTTATATTTACAAATGCTTATTCCTTTATGCAAGCCAATCAACTGGGAGTTAGTTGCAGTGCAAGTTGTCTTATCTAGATGCAACCCTAATCAAAATATGAATATACCTTTTCTGTTTCTTTCTAAACTTTTCTTCTTCATACCTTGGTGAGGAAAAGTTTGATTTCAGTAAATATAACATACAAAGGCCAAATTCAACAGAAGCTGCAAACTGATATTAGTTTCAATACAGTTTGTAGAAACATATCAAGCTTTGAAACTGATGTAATTAAGAAAAAATATATTCTACCTCCAACATTTATAACCATTAAACAAGAAGCATTAAGATTTAGTTACTATGACAGAACATATGAATTCAATACCACTTCTTGTACAGCATTAACATCCATCTCTAAAATTTAAAGTTGGTATTCATAACAGTTTGAAGCCAAATATTCTCAGACTTCTGTGAGGGATTATTAACCAAGTTCAGCTTTTGCTGAACAGTTAAAGGTTCGTCAATACAGAAAGAAGTCTTTCAAGACTTGGAATGACAGTCTGAATATGCATAACATCCTTCAAAAGCCCCAGTGAAAAAAAAACTCTTAAAGATAAGACAAGGCTGCTTCAGCATTGTCATGGCTTTCCTCCCTGACCCAAGAAAACTGCATTTTCTCTATTTTATAAAAAATTAAGTTGTGCAGCTGATACCAGCTGAATGTTTACTGCAATAACCAGCCATTTGCAGGGGTGGGTGGAGGGATTTGTCAAACATGGATGTGCCCTTCTATCCACACAGTGAGTCTATACCATCTTTCCTTATGGAGTTTCCAGTCTGTGATCACCTATTGTGATGCATATTTTATAGGTTTTATATGTTATGCCCTCTAATAGGCTGATCAATTTATCATCAGAATTGTTAGTATTTTCATCTGGCTTTTTTAAGACCCAAGTTTATAGCTTCTACTCTTATTACCGCACCCACAAATGCTATTGAAAAAAGTGTCATCATCATATTTGAGAGCAGAGTTGTGCTGATATTAAAACAGCTATTTGTATCTGGAGGGAAGGAAGAAGAGAAAACCAAGGATATTGATACTTCCTTCACCTCTTCAGCAACATAGTTTTAGAACTGTTATGGGTAAGGATTCAGCATTTTTCCACCACAGCTCTTAAATAAAATCCAACCCAGTGGTATTTCACCACTTCACTCGTTTCATATTTTAACATGAACACTGAAGATATTATAATTAGCTTCAGTATCAACAAGCCCAGAATTTCTCACTCACAAGCCAGTTTGGTATACTAAAGGGTAGAATAACTGGAATGTGGTCTTGCTTCTAGAAGACTAATTTTCACCCCATAACTTCATAATTACGTAAGGCACTAACTGTGAAAATCCCTATACATTAACATTTTGACTATCCATGTTACTGCACACCAAACTGTAGTCAGCAATATGGTCAAACGTGGATACTCCTCCTAGAGATAGCAATGATCCAAGTTAAGCTGAATTTTATCAGTGCAAAGTATTACATTCAAATCAATCACTGAATATGATATATACCAGTTCTAAAACATGATCAGTGTAGAACATGTTTGAATAATAAAACGTACTGTTTTATGCATTCTGGGATGCCAACGTATTCCATGGGGATGAGTTCAGCTAGTTCTGCCAGGGTAAAGACATACCTAATTTTTTGGCTGAATTTTGAGCTGTGGAAGAACAAATGCAGGGTAAGGTTACAACTACAAAACTTTTTCAGTATGTCAATATTAAAAAAGTTTTTGAAGTTTAAAGTAAACAGTTGTTACGATTCTGTGATTCTGTTAGGATTTTAAAAAAAAGCTTCCAGAGTATTACCTAATAAAAGGTTTTGTGATGGCCAGCAGTGTTCTGATGAACCAAGAAGGATGAACTATGATTAATGATTTCAGATTTTTCCTTAACCTGAAGAATTCAAACAGCAGACATAATTACTAGACGAAAGAGGCAGCATGACAAGGTTTTTTTTTTTAATATATTAAAAGTATATTTTTGCAAGCACAACTGTCACAAATCTAGTATTCTGACTTTCCATTACTAGGAAATTACCATCTGCCAGAAGAAAAAAAAATACCACACAATGGCATAGTAAAATTTTAAGATGCAGTATCAGTTTGCAACAATGACAAGAAAATAACATTCCAGAGAAGTTTATTTGAATCTTTTTACACAACTAATGATGAAGTTGTTCACGAAAGACCCCCCCCTTATTACCTTACCATATTAATACATGAAGTTTTAAGGATTTTGTATTTGCTAAGAGTATTTAGTATTCCAACACTACTATTTTCACAACAAAAAAAAAGAAACCAACAAAAAAAAAAATCAGGCATGTCTGTAGCATTATTCCACATTGTCTAGCTTAGGAAGATGTTTTCAATACACGAAATTAACAGTGTTTTTTCCTAGGTATGTAGATCACCAAGCACATGAACATTGTCAGAAAACACTGCAGAGCTTCTTACCTTCTATCAATTTGCTGGTAACATTTCCTAAGCCAGCCTAAACTTGGCATTTTTCTCCGTGTTGTTGCACCATTCAGGTAAACTATCATGTAGTTCTCCGCTACTAACAGCTCTAAAGTGCCAATTACATACCTGCAGAGACAAGCAAAGAAAACTTTCAAGGGAAGATCAGTTGATATTAAAGTAGTTCCTGGTAGTGCTCAGCTATATTTAAAAAAATACAGAGTTGTCAACAGTGTTGAGCAACATCTAATGATTTTTTCCTTCCCCTAAAGCAGATCTAGTTGCTTTTCTACTTGTTAACTTTCCCTCATCTGAAATATAAAAAGCTTAATTAAAAAAAAGAGAAGTAATTGCCCTTACATTAAAATGCTAAGTTTTACAATGTGAAATTAAGACAGTATTCAGAGGCAGATGATGACTTACTTAAATAGATTGTCCATTAGATATCTGTAGTTAGGCTGGCTGCTTTCAGGCATAAAGCAAACTGCAAACACAACAATTGCATTTAAGCCATCGCCATAGTAACCTAAAACCAAAGAAAAAAGCAGCAGTAGTGACAAAGGTGACTATACATTGACTACATTTACACAAAGTCAAGAACATTCAGTAAGCTTGTTCATTATTTACCTTAAAGAGATTTACAAACATCTATTCTATATGGACAGATTCATAAAGTTACAGAAAACATCAAGATTTCTTTTTAAAGTTTGTCTACTTCTAAAGAAATAGCTGAAGTTGATGTAAATCAAATGCTGTACCTACAATCAACATCTCAGTATAGAATCTTAGTATATTTAGTAACATTTGATATAGTCAGCTTTTCTTCCAACCTAAACTCCACAGACTGTTGAGAACAGTCATTAAATTGATTTATGCCTTAGTAGATCTACGTAAATGCTCTCAACACTCTTAACCACATGAAAATTATACTGGTAGCACTGACACTGCAGAACAGACAAATACATCTTATTACATACACATCTTATTGTTAGTAGCTTCATCTGAACATGTGAACATTTTGGAACTTCAGTTTAACAGAGGAAAAAATAGGAAATCAACCATATGCCTTAATACTGCAACAAATCAATCATCACATGAGTCTTTATGCCCAAAGCTCTTCCTGTGCCACCCAACTCAGCTTAAAGAAGTAGTTTCTCAACAGTTCCCCTCAGCACATCACTAATCCTTACCACCATGACTGATAACTTTTTTATATGGTTCAATTGCCTTCATGTCCACCCTATGGTTCTGTTCTCCAATCCTAAACGTTCGCCAGTGTCGGCCGTCATCCTTCTCCTCTGCCGCAGTGTATTCAGTAAGCGATCCTTTCCTAATTACATCAGTAGTTTTTGGTTTTGGAAGATCATCTGCCAAAGTTAAAACGTGATCAAGATGCATTATGAATACTATGTATAGTGACAATCAATTACAACACAGGTTAACCACTTTGCTATCTCATCTATTTTAATATTCTTTAGCCAGTCAGACAGTATCAGCTGACTTAGTTCATTCAGTCTTTACAAAATAGGACCTCATGCGTGTCACATACTTTTTATCAAAATACTCTATGTTGGCAGTTATCCATTGACTGTAGTTTTCTATGTTAAAGTACATGACAAATTTCCATTTGTGTAGGAAGCCTATTTAATTGTAGGCTTTCAGAACACAGACCTTGATGAATCTCACCGAAATAGACAAAGTGGTTAACTCCAATGATAATTACACAGGTTGCTTGATCACAGATTTACATAAAAGCAGGTTTTAAAACATTGACAGTACCTTGCAAGCAGACATGCAGGCAAATCTATCAGAAATTAAGTCTAATTCACATGTGCAATCAATATTTGTGAAATTTATGCTGACAGCAATTTGTAAAACAATTTGCTCCAATTAAATTATGATTCTCGACTTTGTTGCATAGACCTTACCCAAAGCGAGAAAAACCTACTGCAAGTTAGTTGTCTGTTCCCAAGACAAAGCTGTTAATTGAAACTATCCTTCCAGGAAAATGAAGGCAGCAGCATTAAAGGAAGAAAAGACAGAAACCCTTTTCAGCCACTTGTAAAAACAAGGCACAAACATTTGGAACATTTCATTTGCATCATTGCAAAACTAACCCCAAATACCAATTCTTCTTCACTAAAATGATGAAAATCCTTTTATACACAGGTAAACCCAGAGTCTGTTAAGAAAACTTCACCTGCAATATGTCTTTAGCTATTTAAAAAAAACCCTTATTCTAAAAAGTGTGTTTCTCCATTTATAAGCTATCATGGCATGAAGAACAGGTAGTGTTTCATACTTAACAGTGAAAAGAGAGCTTCCTCTTTACTCAGGAAATAAAATAATTTTATTTCCAGGATAAAAATAATTGAGTTTACATGTTTGAGACCTTCTTAAATCATGAAGTTTACAGAAGTTAAAGACTCCAACTGTTTGACCGACACAACAGTTCTTGGCTTACATAAAATGGCCTTAAAATGTAATTAAACTGCAAGTTTAAAACTGGTGCTTTAACTTCAACACAGAACTTTATCTCAAATAAAACTTGTCAGAATCTCCAGGTTCTGCCTCTAAGAGTGAGATGAAACATCTATATAGTTTCTTAAAATTAAGATTATTAATAGTGTGGCTAAGTTAACTTCCTATCAAGTCATTTCAGAATTCCTTGACACAAATCAGAGGCTCTTCTACCACCTCCAGTCAATCCAGAAAGCATGCAAACTCAAAGCCTACTGACCTTTTGCCATTCTCACCACAGTAAGCTATAAGATCAGGTGTTACTCAATAGTTTTTTAAAAATACCATTCAGTCCTCCTTATATACAAAGGCTTGCAATTCATCAGTTTCTGAGTAGCTAATCTATATCCCTTTATATGGTTTGCCTCCATTTAAAACTTCTCTATAATACACACAAAACACCTTTGGTATTTTTTTTCCCAGGTCAGTTCTTAAAAAACATACTCTAACAGAGAGTATTTTCCATAACTTCAAATCTTACAGGTTTTTAATGACATTCACCTAAGTTTATTTGGAGTTACAGCTAATATATTATGTTGCCTGTTTGCTCAAATCAGTCAAGGTCTGATTTGCTCTTTAAAATTCATTGCGCCTATTTCCAATTTCTAATCTAATCATTCCTTTTATATTTTTCCTCCTGTAATACTAAGTCAGTTATTCCCACCTGAAAAACTGTTGACCTGCACATAAGAAAACAGAAATATTTTAGGGCATCAGAAAAAATTAACAAAATACTTACCTTCCCATTCAAACTCATTACTATTTTCTGAAGGAGTATCCAAATCATCCAAATCAATCTCTCCACTCTCATCCAAGTCATCAGACAAAACAGATTCTTCACTGTGATCCAAAGTTAAGCTAATATCTGGAGCTGCTAGTTTCTTCCTCACTTTGGTTCCATTAACCTCTGTGTTTAAAAAAGCAATTTATTTATTTTCAAAGCTAAAGCAAGTTTAGATAAGCATATTAACAAGACAGAAAGCACCATGCTTTCTCAGAATGCATTGGAAGTTAATGCCCATAATTTAAACAATGCATCTTTGGAATAAGAACTAAACACAGGGTGAAAAGAACAGCACTTGGAGGTCAAAGTTCTCAAGTCCTCAAGAACGTAAGTTTAGCAATTGCATACATATTATGATCACAGTGGTAGACCACCATCCATCCTCCTTACAAAAGAAAAACCTGAAGTGCTGCCACCACCTAAGCAACTATTGCCCATGCTATTTATATCAAAGTGTACTGCGAGTTGTTCTAGATATTACACTAAATAATCATTGCAAATAATGCAATATATTTATGTCTCTAGCCCTTCTTTTTGTTAGGTATAAGTAACATTATAACCTTCTTTGATGAAATAAAAAAAAAATTACAAGCTGCAAAAAAAGAAGGCTAACAGACAACAGCGAGGACAAAAAATTTAAACTATTAGGTGAATACACAGCATGCTTTAAGACACAAGGCAAATACTTGCATGATCTAGACAGCAGTTGAAAGCAGGGAATAAAATAAAATGACTGATCCGGCACTGGAAATGCCACAACTAAAGCAGAGAGACAAGATCCAAAAAATTTAAAAATGTAAAAAAAAAAAAAAATCCTTATTATTTCCCCTCTGACCACTCAGACAGGCAACGTTCTTAGAAGGCCACAAAGGTCTGAAACTTAGAGCAAAACAGAAGCCAAATAACAAACCGTAATTTTAAGACAGGTCAGGGAGTGCAATGATTCATTTTTGTCCAGTATTACCTGGATAGCTCTGTTCACAGGCAGGATGAAGAGTCTCATATATTATTCCAAACCCCTTTTCTTTCTAGACAATTTGTTTATAATACCCCTCATAAACAAAAATGTCATTTAGAACGCTGTTTCCTCAAGCCTGACTCAAAAAAAAAAGCCAATCACCAAAAAAAAAAAAAACCAACCCCAAAACCACCCCAAGACCATCCTAAACAGAGCTTTAAAACAGCCATCTGAGCAGCATCAGTCAGCTTGACTGGAGTGGAATGTTCTTACCAGCTTCACTTTCTGTTCCAGCTGCAGCCAATATATCTGACTCAACAGGATCATCCTCTGGCAGGGGCCTAGCGCACAAAGTAGAAACTATTGTTACAAAACTTTTTCTTTTTTGAATAGCCAGCTAAACACCAAATATTTAGACTCATGCACTACTAAAAAACCACTGTGGGATAGTACTGAACTAAATTTACTTATAGCTTAAGTTCAAGCTTTCAGTAAACAAAGCACCAAAGTAGCAGAAAATTCCTTTACAGCAATTAAGTGACCATCTGCTGATGTGACAAATGCCAAAATACATGTTGCTATCAGTATGTCATCCTTCAGAAAATTTGTCATATTCTTGCTTGAGAAAATTTGACATGAAATACGTTACAGAAGTAGTTTAGTCATGTTATCATAGAATGCCTCTGAAGTCAGCTGGTTTAGTTTCTTTGTAGGCCCAAGCATCGCTAGCAGTTTTAACAGTTAAAAAATTTGCTCGGAAATATTGTTTAACAAAATATTTGGGCCTTCAGACACTGGTAATTATACGCAAACAATGTAGTTGCAAAAGATTACCACAGAGAACAAGCAAAG